GGGAGTAACGCGTTCACCACCACACCATGAGAGTCCTTCATTTCGCCTGTCTCTCAGCTAGTTTTATAGTTCGCTGCCAACAGCAATCGCGTGTCAACGGGATTGTATCACACATAATACCCTGCCGTAAAAAATTGTAATAGGCAGTAAATAAAAAAGTTGACATTTAAAAGAATAATGTATGAAAGTTGGATGTACCCATGTGGCAACAGAACAACGTCTCTCCTAAGTTCCTAAAGTTCTCAATTCTTGCACTAATCTACTAATAGAAAAATTATCGTCTGCTGTCAAAAAACCAGTTTAATCTCTGTGTTAAAGACAGTAATGGTTTCCATTGCATAAAAAGTACGCTGTACGGAATTAAGTGAACAATAAAATGTTCATAGTAGCGACTAAACAACGAACAATTTCTTAATTCGAAATAGCCCAGTGGTTAGAGGTTCCCAGCAAAACGGATGTTCTTGTTGATCTGATCCATCACTCCAGGTAAACCAAGTCTCCGTTTCTCCTGGGTAGGCGAATTAGCACTAGGTTTGCCTGGAAGGACACCTACTTGGTACATCCACTACAAGTCATTTTGTAGGTCAAATATGCACTAAAACATCTCTTCTATGGCACGAATAGAGTTAATATCAAGGCGTACCCCTCAGGGTTGGTCAAAGCCGTACGCCTTATCCTTTTTTATTCAGTCCGTCAGTGACGTTCCTTCTACAGCACTTCACAAACGCAAGAAAACTAGCAACTACGCTTTGTTTGCAGAAAAAAGACTCGGAAGCTAAAGAACATACTGTGATTGAGATATTTAAATGGCACCACCCCACGTGAAGTAAGTATCCCACCATTTCATTCATACATTTCGTTATCCTTCAACTGCTATCCATTATGGAGGTATCCTCATTCGTCTGTGGATTCAGCTGCGGCTTAATGATCTTTCGCCTTCTCTTTATTGACGTGCTGAGCGCTAGTTGAGCGTGGCTTTCCAGGAAACCCCGAGATTGCCGTGCTACGACGCTCCCTAGTTTTCACTAAGAGTAGGCGTCACTCTTTGTGAAACGACGAGAGGTCTACCGCTTTTTTTAATGAGATTCCTCCAGTACGGCTGCGATTACTGCGACTAGTCGACCCATCAGAATATAAAATAATTCAGGTCTGAAAGGAAAGTTTTCAGGTAGAAATGAACACACTCACACACTTGTGTCAGTAAAAAAAATTTGACTGGTCCAGTCCAGCATCGCAGATTCCTGTCACCATCTATTTACTTGGTAATAGCATTTCTGTGACAACCTAGTTTCAAAACTCCAGTAGGCATAACTAAACAAAATTTCGTTATTTTAAATAACGAAATTACGTCTCGAATAAATAACTGTCCTCCCTCTCACCGCCGACCATCACGAATGGAGTGAAATGCCCATTTATTCCTGGCGCATGGAGGAGCACCTCAGTAGGTTCTGTTGCCTCGAGGGATTCGCTAAGCACCAAACTTCTTTTTTCAGAATTTTATTCACGAAGTTACATTGTCTGGTCGAGTGTCCTCTTTTTGTGCGCTTGAAATCTCGTACGATTTGGTCGTGAGCAGCTCTGGTTTATCGGTCGTCTTTAAGACGTTGCATTTTTACTATATATGTTCATGAAAAAGGAGTCATAATCACTTTGAAAAGTATATGTGATTAGAGTCACAAGGTTAATATGGCCTAGTCGTACCCATTTAAAAGTGGAATACCTTTACTATCATAAAAAGTCGCAGAGGTCTTCTTAGTGCGTTGGACCCCGAAGCCAACGGGTAAATCGTCAGGCTACGTGGCTGGCCACCATATAGCAGATAGCGGCTTACAGCTGACCCAAAAGTGACCATGCACATACTTGAGGCGCAGGCTGATTCATTCATAGCAGTGTCAGATTTACGATAACAGTCTACATGTGATTGTTTACGTTCACAGCTAAGACATGGGCATCGTACCCAACCACGACGTTTCGACTAAGTACATAAGGGTATAATGCTCCTTGAGGTCACAACACAGGATGGTAATCGCACCAACTTACACCAAGTTCATCAACAACACAGGAGTCCAACAAGCTATCGCCTATCAAACTGTGCAGCGTCATTGTGAGAGTCAGCAGTTAAGCTATATTCACTTTCCTAATGATGTTCTGTTGTTTCGTATAACTTCTAGCACTAACCAGATGACACGATGATCGTATAGTTGGACGACGAGTACGAAATGGTCGTTCTATGACTGCGTTTAAACAAAACAGCTCGTCAGAAATCAGTTCGTTCACGATGCTTCATTCAAGTTCAACAAAATGAATATTTTCTAATGCCGCAAGGATGTTTATCTACGATAAGAAGTCACCCTGATTCCACAGCTGAGCATGAGAAAGCGTGCAGTTTAGGAAGTTCACAACATCATCAGTGATGAGATAAAATAAAGAGCATCCGGTTCCAACATGCTTCCAATTTTAAAGATAAAGCATAAAAAAAGGCGCGCAGCTTTGACTAATCACTGATGGATGCGCATTTGACTCGACTGTCCCAGGAAAGGGTAATCGCGGGTTCGAATCTGGCATGAGGTTCCAAGTTCTAAAAGTCTCGGGTTCCAAGTTTTGCAAATAGTATCATTGTGATTAAGTGTATATTTGGCCCATAACTGACTTGTGGGGACATACCGATGTATTAAGCCAGCGTTTTATTCTCCCTCACAAATAACGCAGCAATTTGCCGAGTCAGAGTCGAGGATAAGGGCTTGGTTGGCAAGGGGCGCTCGATCGAACAAACGAATGCGTGTGTGCTGTAGGGCAACTCTAATCACTGCGCTACATGTGTCTCCAAATTTGAAAAATAAACCTAAAATATCCGAACATTACGTAAACACTAACGAGGCCAGCTTCTTCGAACGCGGAACTATTTAACGAAAGATGGTAGAAGTATTCCGTATCATTAAAGAAATAGTTGGAGTATTGAAATATATCAACAATGGGAAACGAAGGACGCCACCGTATAACGAGATGTGAAGAATAAGGTAAGCCTAGAAGACCAAATCATTTTTCCAGAAAGACAGCAGCTGTTCAACTAACATGAACAATTGAGTTCTATGGCATGTCAAACAAAACACGCCAGATGGAAACCACCACAAGTCGTGAAGGAGTCTAATGTGATGGCCAGCAGTCTCCAAAAAACCATTAACGAAAAATTTCACGCTTCTCGCGGACTTTAAGAGATCAGCAAGCAGCCCGTAGCTTCATTGGCGCCCCGCACAAATAACACGAAAAAATAGCACTAAAGGACAACTGCTAAAAAGACAAAGTTAAGGAATTTGGCGTCAATTAAGGCTCCCATCTCCATGCCATCAACGTTGTCAAGCGTCGTGCTGATTGAAAGCATCTCTGGCAGATGAAATTACCTTCGCTGCTGACTGATGAATCTAGTCAGTACTTTAATCCAATCAGACGTATATGGCACCATTCTGACGATCCTGGAGGGTGGGAAGCATAGTTGGCCCAAAGCGCGTGGTTGAACCAACGACCGCATGTGCTTTCTCGAGTACCTCTAACCAATGCGCTGTGCGCCTACATGCTATGTATGTCGATATATTAAAATAACAAAAAACCTTCTATAATCCCGAGATATTTGCAAAACTCCGGACCGCAGGTGCCTGCGGTGGGGAACGAACGCGGTATTGCCCTTTCCGGGGAGTAACGCATTCACCACTACACCATGTGGGTCCTTCGTCTCGCCTGTCTCTCAGCTAGTTCTATCAATTCCGTTAACGGTTGATTGCTGATGGCAAAAAATCGATAGAACTAGCTAAGAGGCAGGCGAAACGAAGGACCCGCATGGTGTGGTGGCAAACGCGTTACTCCCCGAAAAGGACAATAGCGCGTTCGTTCCCCACCGCAGACACCTGCGGTCCGGAGTTTCGCAAATATCTCAGCATTACAGAAGTTATATTTCGCAACATACCCTGCTGTTAAAAAGAATAGGCAGTAAATAAAAAGGTTAAGATTGTGATTATAACAAAAAATTACCACCTAAAATTAGAACACCAAAACTTCGAGGTTTTTTATAGCCCAATTTTAAACGCAGTTCCATTTATTACCATTTCTTGACACTCGTACAGCGACGCAAAGACTGCTATACGATTCAGTGAAGCCTTGCATGAAAACATGTTTGTTTGACCGGAGCGAAGCAGAAAACGCTCAGGGTTACGCCTACCTATCTAAGCATTACAACTCAACGCAAAACTATAAATTAACGGAATATTTCTAAGTCGATGGAGTAGAGAGAGACAAACAGAAGGACAGACAGAGAGAGAGAGGGAGAGAGAGAGAAGGGAACAGGGAGACAGAGAGACACAGAGATAGAGACAGACTGGAAAAAAGCCAAACGGACACACAAAAGCAGACACAAAGGAGGAGAGAGAGAGTAGAGCAAAGACCACGATTAACTCAAAGTCGAATCTCATGACACAATCTGTTTGAAAAATTTCCACGGAAAGGACTACTGTTCAAAAGAAACGCTCATCACCATCCACAATCTCTTTAGCCAACACAGTCGATAGTATGGGACTCTAGGTAGTTATCAGATGGAGGAACTGCTTCGTGGAAATGTTGATGTCAATGCTACGCAGTATTCAAGCTAACTAAAATGACATTAATTTGACTTATATGGGACAAAGTCTGGCCTTGAACTTGAACTTTAAGGAATCAAACGTCCAACCTGCTTCTTTGTCTTCCTATGATGATAAAATATCACAAACATTGTAAAAATTAAGTAAGACATGTATATATAGAATGAGAGATACTGGCTGGCTGGATAGGATGGGAATGGCCTGGCTACGTTTAGGATACTCCGCATGAGCTGCGATCCGTAAAATCGCGCACAAAAGTTGTGACGACACAAAACTGGACAGAAATTATGGTGTTGCCGAGAAAACAACCCATACAACACATAGAGAACCGTGCTGAAAACGCTAAACAATTGATAACATCTCGATGAAAACAAAATGAAATCTTTCGATCGGAAAAGACCGAACACTCAGCTATTTGGCGAAATATCGATTCGCAACGTCATACGCTATTCTATCGCATATAAGGCGTTAGAATTACCTAGAAAACAGCCCCACTTACAATTCGTATGGTGGTGGACGGAACGAAATCGAAGAAATTCCGCTAATCCGCGAGGCGAACGCGCCAGCGCCGGAGCGCGGAGGTGTGGAGGTCGGCGACCGGCGGTGGACCCGTTCGGCCGGCGGTCACGCGCTGCCCGTGCCGTCGGCGCTGGGGTTCTCGGTCGATACGCCCGTCAACTGCCACCGTCCGCCTCGGACGGGGCTCCTCCGTCGCCTTGGTGTCTACTGGAGTTCGTCGCTATGGTGGTGTCAACTGCATGCCATGTGATGGTCATGGTAATCATCTACCGCCCTTCGCATCATTTTACCGCGCTTTTGGTCAAAACAACCGGAAAAAGTCGGAAGGCGACGGCTAATGTCAAACTAGCTGTGAAGAAGTGCGGATCGATGTCTTCGTTGCCGAAACAGTCGCTCAGAAGTTCATGTGATCATCTAAAGCCCTACGTGACCGCTAGTATCAAAACAATGTCCCACCGACTGAACAGCTTATGGCTAAAGCCAAAACAATGATCAAGGAGTTAGTGCTAAGTAAATAATAAGTGAAATAAATACCAAGAAGAGCTTAAGACGTCTACATAGAATATCCTGTTGATGAGGAATAAATGGAAATGCGGAAATGTCTTACATAACAGAAAAATAGGATCGGGCCGCTTCCTAATCGGATTAAACCGTCGACTGCTGTACAGGATTTCTTCCTTAGAACTTGTTAAACGCTTCCCAATTCGTCCTGAGAAGTATGCCATTTTTATCGAGCAGAATTCCTGGACTCGAATGTCGGAGGAATTTTAGTTAGCATCTCGCTGCGGGCAACCTCAACAGTGTTACACCGGAAAATTATCTATGAAGTACTGTGCCTCGTTTGCAGATCTCTAAAAATGTAAGGGAATGTTGCTCTGAGTTCATTGGTAGGCCATATCATCTGCTGGACGAACTCTTACTTGTTCTGTCGTTTTGTTATTGGAAAGGCGAGCCTCTGCGAAAGAAGGAGAATAGAGACCATTTTCTGTTCAAAAATCTGGATTTTATCCTTGTGATGTAAGAGGACTTGTAACCTATGGGTAAAAATGTGTAGATTCGAACTAGTTCTATCTAATCTGGTGAGGTCCAAAATGAGCTGTGGTGTGTTTATTTAGAATTCAATGGATGCTATTGTTTTAGGGCACACGTGACTCATAAATGACTCATGCTGAGAGTTTTGTATTGATAAAATTTCCACATTTCGTCCAACAACTTCATATCTTCTTTGCCTTCTATTTTTCAAATCGACCAGATATTGTACATCTAAGGTAGTTAAGAATAGTTGAGCATTAGGTACTCTTCTGTAGTTCTGAATTTTTAATGTGTAAATTTCAACATAAAGAAAGAACAAGAAGGCTAAAATACCACTTCCAATTAGAAATCACTCTCGATTCTATCTAATCGCATAAACCAATGAGTCTGAATCAGTCAGCAAATATTAGTAGTTCTTCCTAGTTAGTTGCACCTCTGGATCCATTGTAGATCTATCTAGATGTAAAACTAAAGGATAAAGGATAAAGCTCTATGCGCTGATCAATTCCTGAAGGATGCGCCATGCATTCGACTTCATTAAGCATCGTTATAGGTGATTCAATGCATATCTGGCCTATGCAATGACTCGCGGTGGTCTATCGATGAATCGAGCCAGTGCTGCTATCCTCCCAGACAGGCCTGCTAACCAATTTGCCGACCTCGAGGAAATAGAGGCCTTGGGCGTGGAGATCGATCCCACGTGTATTGCAGGGCGCCTCCGATCACTGGGCTACACGTCGCCGTACCTAGATAAACGCGTAAATTTACCAGAATGATTACAAGAGCGCAACACCTTGTTATATCATTACTTTTTCTACTCTTCTTCTAAATATTTCATATAGCCTTTTTTGACGAACTACAACATTAGTTCAGCTTTGCCTAAATCTAATCTAGACTCAACCCTTTTAAGGACCAATTTAAATCAAGCCGTCCAAAAACTCATGAAAAGCTCTTTACTAATTTGAAATAAGCATCATCAAAAAATCAAAAACAAAAAGTCTCTTTGAAAACATCCATAAGGCGATCACATAATGTCAAGAGAAAATGACAGATGGACGCGAAAGACATTAGAGTGGATCCAGTACGAAACAGGACGACCCAGACAGTGACCTTCAGAGGGAAAAGACTGGCGGTGCTGGTGTTCGGCCCACTCACAAGCCATTTGATCGCATCTGCATTTACAGCTGCGATCAAATTTCGGATCCTCAGGCCGCAGCTGAACTCACAAACGAATTTGACAGTCGTCATCGTTGATGGACGACGTTCGTCAGGAAACGAAGCGAGTGAAAAAGAAGTAGGAAATACGCATGATCGAGGAACGTGAGTTATGTAAGGAATCACTAAAATCAGCGCATTTCTGCCATAGAAGTCCGCCAATCTCACTACATTGTGGAATGAAAGCCTCCCGATCCGATTAAAAAACTCAACATAAAGTGCAGTAGCTGTTCGTCCAATATGTATATGGTACGGTGGGCGTTGGTGTGGGGGTGGGGGTACGTAAGAATACTCAGTGCAGCTCGTCTATAATGCTGAAATATTTGCAAAACTCCGAACCGCAGGTGTATGCGGTGGGGAACGAACGCACACTATTGTCCTTACCGGGGAGTAGCGCACTTCACCACCGAACCATCGGGGTCCCTCGCTTTGCCTGTCTCTCAGCTAGTTCTATTGATCTTTTGCCATCAGCCACTCAGTGCAGTCTAAAGTTCTCTCCAAAATTCCATGTGCACATTCTCCTGTTAATTAGCATTCAATAAAAAGTTGTCGTATAGAACCATCATGTTATGAAAACAAAAAGTAAATTGTTCCTGCCACGACCGACTTTCTATTAACCTCGGCATTGATCAAGTGATTTTGTTCGTATTTTTTGAGCAAACGCGAGATGTTATTGTTCTTTGTTCACGATTAAGCTGACGTTTCGGCGAATTTCGCCTTCTTCAGAGCCGCTTTCTATGAGGTCTCCACTAAGTATGTCACGTAGAGACCAACCGCACAGAAATCACGTNTGGAGACCTCATAGAAAGCGGCTCTGAAGAAGGCGAAATTTGCCGAAACGTCAGCTTAAATTGTTCCTGTTGTAGAACATTAAACAGTGATCACTGCTTTTTCTCTTGCCGTATATTCTACTTACCGTTACGATTCCTTATCAACAGATGAACACCATGCAGAATGTTTTCTGTTGTCGAAAAGCATTCATTCGTATCCTAGAATTCGATAAACGGCTCCGGTTCTTTTTAGCGCGTTCATGACAATGTGTATTGATATCAGTGCACATTTTGCTGGACATGATCTACCGTTCCAACTCTAAAGAAACACATCGAAACTCTTTGCAAAAATTACCAAACCGGAGAAAAATCGTTGAAAGTTAGAGACCTTTACGAAGAGATAGAGCCGTCGAATATTTCTTGCACTAAAGTAAAATCCTAAATATCAGGGACCAGTGAGCTTTTTTTCCTCATTGAGGACCGTATTTCTCAAGTTGCTGGGATCTTGTCGTCCATTATGACACAAATGTGTCCTGGAATGTGTCGTTCACGATCATGTTTTCTAGGCATGTGTTATGAATTTTTATACTTTGTTACTGCAATGATGTTTAGTCAAACCTTACATTGAAAACTCAAATGAACACGACGTCTTATTAGAATTGTACACATTTCCATCAGAAGCTGATACTAGGTCTCTTCTCCAAGTCTGTCAACTCTTCAGAACGTCAAGATATTTCACTAACAAGGAAACCTGCGCTATTCTGGATGTGCCAAAGAGCTATTTTTCCTCTGCGCAGCATTAGCGCATCAACGAGGTTACATACTGCACTTTTTTTTTTACAAGATTTGAGACTTTTCCTGAGCTTTTAATTCGCAAAGACTTTCTTCTTTTCTTTCTTCTCCTGAGAACAAAGAACTACAAAAAAGACTCAAAATGTCATTCCGTAGTCGTATTTTATAAATTTCCCGCCCTTTTTTACGGACCTAATGTGGACGGAATATATTTGGAAGAAAGTGGAAAAACTTCTGAGTGCGAATATTAGTAGTAATGCGTCGTTTTCTTGTTCAGCGATCGCGAGGTTTTAAAACAGCATACATTTACTTCCATAGAAAAACACAATACAATACAGCAGTAGCTGACGTTTCGGCAGTATCGCCTTCTTCAGAGCCTGGAAGGGTATGCTGATATACAATCTACTAGGCCAAACGCTTCAATAACACTTACAAAAAGACGGAAAGCTCTATGGTAACTACATGATCAACAGCTTCTCGAAAAACCCACCGCTTTTTCGTGACTTCCAATGAGGAAGTTTAGAACAGCTGATTATAGTCGCATGTGGTTGACGACTGCACCATCCCACATCAAAAATCGATGCGAACATACGGGATCAGGTCGCGTATGACCTCCGGACATTCATCCCTGCTATTCATTGTAGGGTTTTTGGCATTGCTTGCTTAACCCCATTCCAGCTCACCTCACAAACACCCAAATGTTCCTAGAACGTTTCTAAAAGTTTATCTCTAACCTTACAGCCGAACAAAAATGTTGCATGCGGGAAATTAGAGAATTAACAAGCTCCAAAACAATAAGATTGTCTGTTAGTGATAAGGGGGAGAGTTCGTAGTTATCCCTCGCCAGCTGGATGTTGAGATAACAGAGGAACATCTTAATGATGCTACCCTCTATCGCCCATTCTCTGAAAAGGAAAATAAAAGTCAATACCGAAAGCTAAACAATCAATGGGTCAGCGTGGCAAAGACTGCGGGTTTAAAAACATCGGTTATTTCGCACTTTAAAATCGATAGACCAACATGTCCCGTCCTATACCTACTTATTAAAACACATAAGTTGGTATCACCTGATGTTCATGCGTCAACCAATCCTTCGTCATTTAAGGTTAGACCGATCATCAGCTGTGTAAACGGGCCAACGGATAGGATAACCTGGTTTTTAAGCCTGATACTTACCCAGTTGCTTAACCACATTCCAGCTCACCTCACAAACACCCAAATGTTCCTAGAACGTCTACGTAACGCGTCTCCTAATAACGCGTACGTGATGGAGTCTTTCGACGTTACCGCACTGTACACCAACGTGTCAAATGACTCCGCAATGCAAGCCATCTTCGAACTTCTTGTTGAACATGAAGGAAGAATAAATATGCATGGCTTGTCCATCCAGCAGCTAATTGCTCTCTTAAACGAGTGCCTGAACAGCTCGGTTTTCAGATGATATGGGAAATATTTCGCGCAAATAAGTGGGTTGGCAATGGGACAGCGATTGGCACCAAGCCTTGCCATTGTGTTTATGTCTAAGATAGAAGCCCCCGTTCTCGATCTCCGGCCACTACTTTACTGCAGATATGTAGATGATTGTTTTGTCGTCTTCTCTACGCAGGAGGAGATGGACAAATGCTTTGAATTATTGAACGAGCAGTCNACGTTACCGCACTGTACACCAACGTGTCAAATGAC